CCTACAGCCTCCTTGCATTTTAATTAGGGCCAATAGTACATTCCCATTCCAGGCTGAAATCCAATGCTCCCCAGGCTTTATTCTTAGGTGGCATAGCTTAAAGGATAAAAAATTCTTTGTGTGTGTGTATACTTCATCTGCCCGAAAAAAACTGAGAGGAGTGAAGGCATGGGAACTGGGGGGAAAAGAGGAAGCATCCCAGAAAAACATTTCTTCACCTGGCTAGTGTGTGTGTGTGTGTGTGTGTGTGTGTGTGTGTGTTCTTTCTTTCCTAACTTCTCTTTGCAAGCCAGATGTTAAGGCATGGAACAGCTGGGCTAAGTAAAGCTCCACTTTCTGCTTCTGGAAATCCAGACTAGGAACAGCGCTATTGTTCTCATTGATTCTCTTTTTTGTTCCTCCCACCTATTTCTGGTAGGCCAAGATCATAATCTTCTCATATAAGGATATTCACAGAGAAGCTGCATAGGATGGATCCAATGCATACATTTTCCCTTTCTCCTGACACAGAGACCTCTGATTTATCAGAAGTGCTGGGCATTTAATACAGGCAAATGGGGAGTGAGGAATGAAATGGAAATTGCAACTATCTTATAGAAAAAAAGTCTGTTTGTTCTAGTGATATTTAGGTGACTGCGAAAATGGCTGAAACCAAAACACTTCCCATGGAGCCCTTTTTTCTGGCTGAACTTCACTACCTACTATGCATGAAGACACACCTACACATTCCACCATTCGCCACAGGTTCAATTTCTGCATGTTTAAATACAACAGATCAAATATCTTGCTTACTCAGTTCTAATTCATTCATGTGTTATCCATGCCAACAAAATTTTTACTTGATATACTGACGCTTAGCCCAATATAGATCCAGGATCTGATTGATGTAAATTCATAAGCTAAGAGAAGCATTTTTAGAATAGGTAAATGAGAAACTGATAGTTTGTTTCTATATTGTCAGATTAGTCTAAAAAACACCAGTCACTCTATATAAGCTGTCCCCTCACCCCCAGTTTTTTCCAGGTGGGAACTACTGATCTGGGGCAAAATTGAGTAAGATTTCTGGGGAGAATTACAAGCAAATGAAGGAAGACATACAAAACATGTCTTATTACAACTAGTGCTGGGATTAGGATTAGATATGTGTGCAGTCATGCAAGTGTTGGGGGATCTGTTTTTGAAATATTAATATTTTTCAAGGACTTTTTTTGCATTATCTATACTAATAAAAGGGTAATATGCTAATTAGACTGGGTCAACCGGACATCTTCCGGACGGACGGCTTATTTCCAGACAAAGCCACGGTGGCAGGGGCCGAGGCAGAGGCAGTTAGGGGCAATTAGGACAGCTGGGGGGCAAGCAGTTAGGGGGTGATCAGGCCAGTAGGGGAGAGCAGTTGAGGGTGATTAGGCTGGCAGGTGAGGGCAGGCCTAAACCAGCAGTCAGATATCTTCCGAGGGTTCCCAGATTGGAGAGGGTGCAGACCAGGCTGAGACACCCCTCCCCATGCACTAATTTTATGAACTGGGCCTCTAGTTTTCATTATAAACATTTAAAAATGTTTATAGGCTGAAACCGGTTTGGCTCAGTGGTAGAGCGTCGGTCTGCGGACTGAAGGGTCCCAGGTTCGATTCCGGTCAAGGGCATGTATATTGGTTGCGGGCACATCCCCAGTAGGGGGTGTGCAAGAGGCAGCTGTTCAATATTTCTCTCTCATCAACGTTTCTAGCTCTCTATCTCTCTCCCTTCCTCTCTGTAAAAAATCAATAAAATATATTTTTTAAAAATGTTTATAAACATTTTACCTTTTTAAATTTATTTCTTTAATTGAAAAAATTTTAAACAATTATTTTTCTAGGTAATCATTTTTCTTTAAGACAACCATTATACTTTAATATGGGGAAGAAGTATTGTATGCATATTTCCCAAACTGTCACAGATAATATTAAAGAGATATACTTAAGAATCATGATTTAGTAAAATTAAGAATTTGTACTACTTCATCAAAAATATTAAGTGAGATTGACTTTTTTAAGTAAGTACACAGTGCCAGAAGTTTTATTCACCATTAATTTTGTACCATCAATGCCAATGCCAATACAGTGAAAAAGGTAAATAACATCTTAGAGTTATTATAAAAATCACTCTGACTCCATAGACCTCCTGAAAAGGTCTTTAGAATCCACCTGGATCTATAGACCACACTTTGAGAACTGCTGCCTTAAAGGATAAGGTTTTTGTTTTGTTTTTTAATCTTCACTTGAGGATATGCTTGTTTATTTGTTTTTTATTTTAGAAAGAGAGAAAGGAAGAGAGAGATAGAGATAGAAACATCAACTAGTTGCCTCCTGTATTCGCCCTGACCAGGGATTGAACCCACAGGTATGTGCCCTGACTGAAAATCGAACTCACAACATTTTTGATGCATGGAACACACTTCAATCATTTGAGCACCCAGCCAGGGCCATAAGCTTTTATTATTATTTTTGTTAATATATTTTATTGATTTTTTACAGAGAGGAAGGAAGAGAGACAGAGAGCTAGAAACATTGCTGAGAGAGAAACATCGATCAGCTGCCTCCTGCACACCCCCTACTGGGGATGTGCCTGCAACCAAGGTACATGCCCTTGAAAGGAATTGAACCTGGGACCTTTCAGTCTGCAGGCCGACACTCTATCCACTGAGCCAAACTGGTTTCGGCAAGGGCCATAAGCTTTTGACACTACTCATAACATTATCCGTTAACAGGCTAGGATCCTCAGTCAAATGGGGGCAACATAGTTAAGGTTATCAAAAATAAGTGGTGAAGAATTGAAGCAAATTGACTCATCTGTCATATAATTAGTTCTGAGCAATAGTTAAGGCTAAAGACCAGATATGAATGAACAAGATGAGAAAGAATCTGAATGCCATGAATATAATCAATGACCTTTTTAGGGCAAATGAGTGGAGAAATACCACCCCATCCTCCCTCATCTCCCAGCCTCCCAGGAATGAGGGAGCAGAGGAAACTACAGCTGGGCAGGCAGATCCACAAAATGTACCACTGAACATGCCGAGGCTTTTCTGAGATCCTGGGGCCTGCCTGCCTGCCTGTGTCGGAAGCTTTCTTCTAACACTTCCCAGCAAAGCCTTGGGCAACTTCCAAAACCACTATCTTATCTATCAGTCTCCTCATGTGTAATATGAATATAATATTAATACCTTCCCCATGTGATTGTGGTAAGGAGTACAGAGCTTTGAGCGTAGTGCCTAGGAGAGTAAACACCCAGTAGACATTATCTTACTAAAAATAAGAAACATAGAGTGTATTGATTCACTGCCCAGCACTCAGAAACTTTCACCACATTTATAAGTGCTTCATCAGCCCCTTGTCTCGCCAGTGTCAGGTGTTAGAAAAGGTTACTGCCTCCCTCCAGCTAGACGGGGAAGCCTGTCTGGACCTGTCATTTCATCCTTGCTGCTTTGAGGGTGAGGCTTTCTCGCCAACAAGAGAAATCTGATGCTTAAATAGGAAAACGCATCCATTAATGGGCAAATCAGTATGTCAAAGTGGAAGTGTTTATTCCATAGTAGAATTATCTTTCATCTTTTCCTAAAATTGTTTCTACTGGTGTGAAAGGCATGTCTGAAAAACAAAGGAATTGTTTTTTAAAAATTGAAACGACCAAAATATTTAACTTACCAACAGAAAAACTTATCAGCCTTGCCTTTTTGCTCTTCTCAGTGGCAGACAAAATAATGTCCCCTACAAATGATGCCCACACCTAATACCCAGAAACTGTGAGTAGGACACCTTACACAGCAAACGGAACTCTGAGATGGGGAAAAGTTATCCATGATGATTGTGGGGAAGGGGCAGCCAAGGTCTTTAAAATGCAGATAGAGGCAAGAGTCACTCGGAGAGAGGGTGCACAGAACATGGGTGCAGAGAGATGCAGCACTGCTAGCTCCGGAGACAGAGCCTGGGGCGCATGTCAAGGAATGTGGGTGGCTGCTAGCAGCTGGAAAGTGCAAGGAAACCCATTCTGCCTCAGCTCCTCCTGAAAGGAATGCTGGCCTGACAACACCTGGGTTTTAGCCCAGTGGCGTCCAGGCTGGCCTTCTGAGCTACAGAACTGTAAAATAATAACCCTGTGCTGTTTAAGCCACTAGGTTGGTAGTCATTTGTTACCAAGGTTATCCAGTCACCCGTGCAGCCAGGTTACTAGGTGAGGACTAGCAACTCCTCTGGCTTCGCCAACCTCGCCAGTGCAGCATCCAGCCATTGAAATCCCACAAAATCAGGTACTTAGCACTAAAGACAGTGCCCGGCTTAAAGATTTGGATTCAAAAGGTTTGGGACACAAACATATCCATATTTAACTGGTGATTCTATTAGAAATGGTTGGTGGTCCACACTCAGAGACATTCATTTCTACGCTTAAGGAGTTTACAATTTAGATGCAGAGTAAATGCAATTCTAATCCCTAACAGATAAAGAAATATGCATACCTCCCAGATAGACCAACAGCCAGGGACAAGGGTGTAAGGCTGGAAATGGCCCAGAACACAGAAATGCTTCCATACGCTGATGCTGACAAAAACGGTTTGCAGCCCAGCCCGTAAGGCTCAGTGGTTGAGCCATTAACCTATGAACCAGGAGGTGACAGTTTGATTCCCGAGCAGGGCACATGCCCAGGCTGCAGGCTTGATCCCCAGTGTGGGGCATACGGGAGGCAGCCGCTCAATGATTTTTCTCTCATCATTGGTGTTTCTAAATCTATCTCACTCTCCCTTCCTCTCTGAAATCAATAAAAATATATTTAAAAGAAAACACAAAAAGGGTTTGTATAATTAAGCCCAATGAGACCTCTGCCTGCTCTCCCCTCTGTGGCCAGTGCTTCCAGCTTGGGAGCAGGTCAAGTAGCCCTGGCAGCCTTCTACACTCTCATGGAGAAGCATCCCCGAGGAGCACGGACCTGAGCCGGATCCCTCCCTAGCCTCCCACCTGTCCCACCTGCTTCTTTAGGAGGAGGTGGTGAAGTGCTGGTCCAGGGCGTGTCATCTTCAAACTGAACCCAGTTGCTGATGGCTGAAGCCAGGTCAGGCGGGGGCTGCGCAGGGCTCCCGGGAGGAGAGGCCGCTTCAGAGATGAGGCCCATCTTCTCGGAGGAGTCATCCTGCTCCGAGTGGGAGAGGTCCTGAGAGCCTCCATCCGCCACATGGTTCTCCCCGGAGGAGCTCTCGGACTGGTCTGAGGATGATGACCGGCCCGCAAGGTGCTCTTCAGTGGCTCCTGAAACAGACACCAGACAGCACATCATTCACGTGGGGAGGGTGGAAAAACAAAGGATGGGCAAGGGGTGATCACAGGACTAAACAGTCATGCCCATCGGCCTCTATGCCAAAGGAGGGCTTTCCTAGCAATGTTTTTAAAACTATAACCTCAGCATGACCAGGCTGAGATTGGGGTAGTCTTGCTCACTGCTCTTATCTCAGCATCTATACCAATTCTTGAGGGTCACGAATAAAAATGCCCACAGAGGCCAAGCAAGAAATATAACTTGAGTCGAAGGAGAAAAGCAAAAGGCAATAGGGACTGCTAGAGAGTATGGCTATACTGGAGAGCTTCTGCCTGGACCAAAGACATTTCAATTTAAACCTCAAACTCCTTGCAGTCCTAACTACACACCTGCAGGCTTCCAGGTGCAAACCCTGCACCAATGATAGCTAAACGTGGCAGAGGCTCTTCCCCTCGATTTGTTTCACTTTATTGGTCCTGAAACATTTAACTGCTTTCAAATAATTGTGTGGGGTTTTTTCGTTTTTTTTTTAAAGAACTATATTCTGGTTGTGGTGGTGGTTACACAAATCTATATATGAAAAATTCATCAACTTTACGTAAAAAGTGGTCCATTTTACTGTGTGAAAACTTTTTAAAAATATTTTTTTATTGATTTTAGAGAGGAAGAAAGAGGGAGAGACAGAAACATCCATGATGAGAGAGAATCATTGACTGGCTGCCTCCTACATTCCTCCCCTAGCCCAACCCACACACACACACATGCCCTGACCAGGAATTAAAACGTGACCTCCTGGTTCACAGGTCGGTGGTTAACCACTAAGCAAAAACCGGCCAGGCACTGCATAAAAACTTTTTAAAAACTCAAACTAGCAAACAAACTAATAAAGCCTTTAGATTAGCATGGTCAAATAAATAAATAAATGAACCACATATGTAATTTTAAATGTTCTAGTAGCCACATTAAAAAAAAGTAAGAAGAAACTGGCAAGACTACTTTTAATAATATATATTTCAACCCAGTATGTTGAAAATGTATAATTCCAACACGTAATTGATATAAAAGTTGTTAAAGAAAAATTTAACTTTTACTAGGTCTTTGCAATCCATTGTGGGCATTTCCAACTTTCAGCACAATTCAGTGCAGACTAGCCACACTTCCAGGACTTGTAACGGAAACACACCTCAGAACTCACACTTGCCAGGTGCTGTGAAGGAAGCGGGCTGGTTTCGGTGTAGCAGAGGCAGCTGCAGTAGAACAGGATCAGCTGGCATGGCTCTGCAACTATTTGTACCCTACCTTGAACTTCGTGCCTGGGCACCAGTTCCCTAGAAGTCAGGTTGGCGATCTTCATCATGATCATGGATGGCAGTTATAGAGCTTTTCCATGAGCCAGGCACACACATTCATTCATTTCCTCCTCACAGCCACCGGAAGGTAGGTACTGCGGTTATCCGTGCTGCACGGATAGACTGCCGCACAGAGATGTTGGATAAAAAAATCTATCCAAGGGCACCTCCCTCATCTGTGATGGAGCCAGGATTTGAGCCCAAGCAATCTGCCTCGACAGCCTGTCACTCTCAACAGCTACGCTTTAAAAACTTGAGAAAAATCCAAGTTGCTGCTGGGAGTAACAACCCAAAGAGCAGAGGGTAAAGTACATTGTAAATATAAAGTTTATGCTGCGTGGAAGACAGCAGCCAATACTTGTGCTGTTTCCAGGCCTTTCTCCGGGAACCCAAGGCTCCTAAGATGCTTCCTCCAGGTTTCTAAGCAGAAGAACCTGCATCTCAGGAAGTGACAGCAGGCTGGCTCTTGTTTCCACCTGAAGATCCCACCCAAAGAACAATCAAGTGGAAGCCATAGCCAGCAGGTGTGCTTCTCTGCCAGTCCTTTCCCTTAGGACACATGTGTCAAACACAAGGCCCGCGGGCCAAATCCGTCCCGCCAGGCCTTGCAATGTGGCCCGCACCGCGCTGTCATCACTGCACTCCACTGCGTTTCCATCACAATGACAGTTTATGACTGTTCAGTAAACCATTCTGCCCGCGATTTAGGCTGGATTTTAGATTTTGGCCCCTTCTCTGATTGAGTTCGACACCCCTACCTTAGGAAATGAAAGCACCGCTTACCCTCAGAAGGGACGGGGAAGAGTGGATCCTCGCTGAAGGAGACCCACTCCGACTGCTGGGTAGCGATCACATGGTCCAAGGTCGTCATGCTAGGAAGGTGCTGGGCATCGTCACACTGCTGGCTTCAGGCAGACCCCAGAGTCGTGTCTGGGGTGGGGTAAGGGTATGGTAGCGGGGCGCACTTGGGCCTAGGAATCTGTTACGGTGATCTTGCAGGTGGCAGCACTCAGAATGTAGCCAGATTGCCTTTGATTAATCTGCCAATTAGAAATCTGTTAAAAAAATAAATAAAATTTAAAAAGGATACATAACATTATACCCAATCTACTCAGGTCTAGGGCCCTTTTAAATATATATATTATTGATTTCAGAAAGGAAGTGAGAGAGGGAGAGAGAGATAGAAACGTCAATGATGAGAATCATCCATGGGCTGCCTCCTGCACGCCTCCCACTGAGGATTGAGCCTGCAACCCGAGCATGTGCCCTGACTAGGAATCGAGCCATGACCTTCTGGATCATAGGCTGACATTTAACCACTGAGCAACACCAGCCAGGCAGGTCCAGGGCTTTCAACACTACCCACGAAGAGGTCTGGGTAGTGCCCACTGGCCTTACTGTTCTGTGCCCCTGTCTTGCTCCCACTTCTACCACTCCTTTAGCATCAAGATCTCTGCATGTGCCACCACATCAGACTTGTAAATAACACAAATGTAAGCAATTAGATCCTCCTGTTCCCCCAATTATTTCAGTATGGGAATATTTTTAACTATGCTATAACGCCATCATTGTAAAACAAATATTAAAATTTCCCAAAGTACTTTCACGTTCTCTTACCAAATGGCGAAGTAAAAGCATGCTCGTTCCTATTAAATCAGTGCGGTTTCTTGCCTTAGGCAGGTAGCTCTTGGCAAGCCTGAGTTAAAACATTGGCAGAAACCCAACAATCTCCAGATGGTATATCCAAGCACCGTTTACCAATTTAAAAAAATAGAAATGGAGGCATTTTGTTCATTTGGAGTAAGGGGGTAGGGCATATTTGCTTTAAGGTAAAATGTGTGTTAAACACATTCTGATTCTAGGCCCATGTGAATTAATACATAAAAGCTTAGCCTTTACTTTTACTGCAATTACATTCTAAGCATATAGAAGGATACTTTACAGACTTATGATTTTGTTTGTAGTATTACTGCCCTTTTACAACTTTATTTTTTTTATTTTTTTATTTTTAAAAAAATATATTTTATTGATTTTTTTACAGAGAGGAAGGGAGAGAGATAGAGAGCCAGAAACATCGATGAGAGAGAAACATCGACCAGCTGCCTCTTGCACACCGCCCATCGGGAATGTGCCCACAACCAATGTACATGATCCTGACTGGAATCGAACCTGGGACCTTTCAGTCCGCAGACCGACGCTCTACCACTGAGCCAAACCGGTTTCGGCAACTTTATTTTTTTTTAAAGGTATGAAAGAGAATTTATTTAGCTTTGTGAGGCTTTACTTTCACAATAATAATATACCCGTGGCACAGGAAGACCCTTTAAAGTTTCATATATTGCTTTAATAAAGTAAATATTTATGTTGATTTTATGAAGCTTTCAGACATTAAGTTTGAGAAAGTTAATGATTAGCATAATTTGCACACATTATACAATCAAAACGGTAAAGTAAACCAAAGAACAAGATTTTCTTAACACCCCTAGAAACATAATAGCAATTTCTATTCAAACATAATACTTCTGCTATATTAATTTTGATGTCTGATTTTATACTGGCTTATTTCCCCACCCCCCACCCCCGTGAAAATAGGTTACTGATAATCTTCTGTGTTAACTCTTAATACCCCAAAGTCACTGGCTATGCCTTGGCTCTATTATTATTGTTTAGAGTAGGATGTGCTTACTAAGCCAGTTATACTCCAGTAATTTTGTGAATGAAAAAGAAAAAAATGCTAAAAGAATTAAGAACAAATAATAGAGTCACTATTTCATCTATCCTCATCCTATTTCAGGAAAATCACTTCCAAAAAGCAATTCTGCCTGATAAATTAATGTTTAAACAGAAACTGAAAGAAAAGTGAAATAATGGGAAATCTATGATGGTTTATTAGACATTGTGCGCTTTTAATAGTTCAACACTGGTAATACTTGATAACCAAGAGTAAATTAATAGACTAACATTTTTAAATGTGTACTTTAATAAGTATAAACTATATCAACAATTAGGTAAGCTTGTGGAAAAGCTGCCAAGATACATAAATTAAGAAACACAGTATCTAAGTTTTCTACATTTTTTTTCTTTTCTTTTTTAAAATATTGAAGTTGTTAATGTACAATTTCTCATTAGTCATTTTGGAAGTCCTTTATTGTAAAGACTATTCTTTGTTTGATAACAAACAGCAGCCAGTGTCGTGATTATTCAGGACCTCCACGTTGGATATATTCGATTTCTTCTTGAGAGACAAGTTTTCTTCTGTATTTCTGAGGTTATGTTTTTATTATTTCTGCAGTGTCTGGTGGATCCTGATGCATCAGCCAATCTGACAATTTACTTCCCTTAGAATGCTGTGAAATTGAAGAAGAGTGAGAAGGTACTCCTGTTGACCTCACAGCTTCTAATACATTTGGTTTAAGATGATCTCTTCTTTTAGGGAATCTTATTAATGGAGTATGTGGCTTGAATACCTGCACGACCCTGCCGGCCGACGCCATCTTGCTGCCCATCCTGACCGGGAGCAGGTGCAGCTTCCGGGGCGCGGGCCAGCCGTGGGGAGGACCGGAGCCCCGGGCGGCCGGAGGCGGGCCCCTTGACAACTTTAACCTTGCTCTTACTCTTATGATGACTTGATAAAATCTGAATTAATGAAAAATTAATGATTTTTTCTGCAAAAGAGCTACTGATTGACCTTGTACAATATTAGTTCTTACTACTCACAGTATTCATTTTAGTCTAGAAGAGTTGAACTCATAGCCTTCTAAAAAGAAAATTGTATTATAGGTTATTACTTGCAGTAGGTAATCTATGCTGTGGAAAATCAGCATAAAAACATTAACAGCTTTGGGTTGGGGGGGGAAGGTTGTAATTAAAGCAATTACTTTTGTTGTATGATGCTTCCTAAAAACAACTAGTGTTTGTATAGAATTTACGATTTTTAGTATTTTCACTCAATAATTCATTTGATTCAATAGTCACTTTAGTAGAGTAAGATAGGTATTAATATCATTATTTTATAGATGAAGAAATCTGGGTTGAATAAGTGATTTACCCAACAGTATTTTTATTTCCAGGTCCTTGTTTTGTTTCTCCAGGCTTTTAAGTGAAAGAATTCACATATCCCAGGACACTGACAAATTAATTCTCTCCCTCCCCCACCCCAAACACATAAATGTCACCCAAAAATGATCAAGCAGGTGTGTTAGATACGCCCCTTGAACCCAGGTCTTTCAATGCCAAAACACTCTAATCTTTGGGTCATAAAAAATTCATTAAAAAGTACTAGAGAATATATAATAACTACCACCCAGCTGAAACAATTTACAAATATCAATTATGATGGAACCATGATAAAATGATCTATGAAACTCCCCATGTGGAAACCCGCTAGGGCACCCAAGCTGTACAGAAGGTGTAAGGCCGAGAAATATCTCTCCCAAGTCCCTCTCCTAAGATCCTTACCAACCACGAACCAGACATGTGCAAACTGACTGGAGAATGCAGTGCTCCAAACCAGATCTCCCAAAGAACCACATAGAGCCCAGCCCCCAAGAGCTGATTTCCCATGAAGCCTTTCTCTGGCCCAAACGCTGGAGTAACTCAATGTGGTAATGGCTGCAGGCCAAGATAAAACAGTAAAATTGAAGAGTCAGATGCCTCCTCTCCCAACAGCAGCAACATGTAAAGCAGGTCCAAGAACAACAGAAGAGCCACAACACATGTCCACATGCTGACACATGCAATGTTGCAGCTCAGTGGGGAAAACATCCTGCAGATCTCGTGATAATGAATTCACTGAAATTCACAGTATGACTGTGGATGGGGAAAGGTTGTGGGAAAGAAAAGAAGGAAAAGGGTGAAGGTTGTGGGGGGGAATACTTGGAAATTTTAGAGCTCAACGGATTTAAAGACCAATAGTTCAGCTCTCAAGTTTTACAGATGAGAAAACTGAGGCCTAAGGAAATTAGGTATAGCAATGGAGATTAAAAGCATGAGCCCAGGAGATAAGACTGTCCAGACTTCAGTCCTCGGGTCACCCTGGAACAGCAAGAATAACAAAACTCAAGAGCCCCAAAGATCTATCTACTCCATACTCGTGAATCTCAGATGCAGGCATGGACTGGTTAGATAATGAGAAGTCCCATACCTGGCAGAAATTACAGAGAAGCCCATGAAATGGATTTCCGGTATTTGCCAACATACAACCACATCGTCCAATAAGCCATCAGACGCCATACCTTGAGTGCTGTGCTAGCAGCTGGCAACCACAGAGGAACCCAATAATTGTGAGGCTAAGTTCACACCGGGATTGGTTTCTCGGGGAAAAACCTCACCCTGTTTTTAGAACGTGAATCACAAAGTGAGGCTTAGGATCATCACCACAAATGAGCAGTGACTCAGTACCAGCAGCAGCACTGACCGAGAGACATTACAGATTTCATTGAGGACTCCAGGTTGCCATTCCAGAGAAGCTTGTTTCTCAGCACCCTTTACACACTAAAATTTGGGGGTGGGGAATGCAGTTGGGTGATAGGATTGGGAGTCACAGAAATAGATTTGTCATCAGCATTCAGGAGTCCTGTGTATCCAGAAATGCACTTGGCAGTCTTTGAGACAGTGACCTGCAAGCAGTCTGCAAGCTATCTGGGGAGATGAAGCTACACAGAAGAGCAAATACAAGAAATCCAGGAAGAACTGCCTATAGGAGGATATACCAAAAATGCTGTTTGGCCACAGAGAGATCTACAAGGGCTGGAAGCATAAGGGGCTGGGCTAGTTCTTGGATTTGAAGGACATCCCTGATTCTGGACTTTTGTGAGGGAAGAGTAAGGACATCCTTGGGACATAAGTGACGATTAAGATTCAGACCTTGCCGAAAATGGTTTGGCTCAGTGGATTGAGCATGGGTCTGCGGACTGAGGGGTCCCCGGTTCGATTCAGGTCAAGGGCATGTACATTGGTTGTGGGCACATCCCCAGTAGGGGTTGTGCAGGAGGCAGCTAGTCGATGTTTCTCTCTCATCGATGTTTCTAGCTCTCTATCC